TCCCTCTCGTGCTCTCTGTCTCTCATTCTCTCTCTCTCAAATAAATAAATAAAATCTTTAAAAAAAAAAAAAGAATAAACCGGTCCCCCTTATTTCCCTTATTGTCTCCCTCCCTCTGATTCAGATTATAGAATGCTTAGTGTCAAGAATAAATTACTTAAAAAAAAAAATAGGTAAATGTGACCAGAAACTAGTTTTTACTCTTTTGAAAAGATTGTGACACCCTGTTCTTTTTCTGGTGTTTATGCCCTGAGCCAGTCTTCCCTCTTCTCTAAAATGTAGCAGACCTAAAAAAAAAAAAAAAAGGTGAATTTATAGTACTTGACTATTAAGAGTGAAGTGCAACAACATAGGAAAATGTGTGTGGCATATTTGTTTCGAAAAAGCAAGATGCAGGGCGCCTGGCTGGCTCAGTGGGTAGCGCGTGTGTGATTCTTGATCTCAGTATTGTGAATTCAAGCCCCACACGTTGGGTGTGGAACCTATTAAAAAAAAGAAAAAGCAAGATGCAAAATAATTTGAATAGTATATTAGTATATTTGTTTAAAAAGTGTACTACACTGTTTTTTGCCTATTCATGTATGCATCCCAAAGTTCTCAAGGAATATATACCAAACAGTGTTGATGTATTTATGCTGCTGTTGGTATCCAAGACTACTCTATTCTATCTCCGTAATATTTGCATTTTAAACTGAACATATATAATTTTTATAGTTAGGAAAAAAGTGTTTTAAAAATGAATTGGCATTGTGTTTCTGAGAATTCATTGGGAAGTCTTACTGAAAATAAGGTAGCTATATTGCTGGTGGGAGTATAAATTGTCGCTTCAGAAAAACAATTATATGTAGCAGCAGGAGACAATGTACAAAACGTCACAGCAGCCTGATGGTAAGTCCTAAATATAACCCACCATCACCACTAGAGTGGGTAAAGGATTTGTGGTAGAGTCCTATGATGGAATACTATATAACTGTGAAAATGAATAACCAGCAGATTCACACAACCATGGACGCAAAAAGTGAGGCATGCAAAAGTGGGTCACGCCAGTACATAGGGTGTGGTTTCATCTGTATAAGGTTCACAAATATCCAAAACTAAACAGCGCTTACCTTATTTAGAGATATAAATAAGGTAAAGCCATAAAGAAAAGCTAGGAAATAATAAACCCAAAAGACAAAATGCAGTTAGATCTGAGGGAGCAGGGACAGGAATGGGAGTGGGGAAGGGCACCCTGAGAATCTCAGTGGTAATGGTCTTTTTCTTACACTGCATAATGGGTAAAGGTGTTCGTTGTTTTGTTATTCTTTGTGCCTTACACGTTTTGTAACTAACTTCTTGGGTCTGGAATTTTCTAATAAAACCAGTAAAGGATGAGGTTGAAGAACCAGTAAAAGCTGAGGTTGAAGATCATAGCACTTAGAGTTGAAGAGAGCATGTGCTCAGAGTTGTGTCCCTGGCGGCGTGTCTGTGGCCCCCTGGTGGACTGCCCTTCTGGGTGCAGCGTGGCTGTGGCATGTTGCTCTCCTCAGCTATGGCTGTTAGTGTCCAAGGCCGTTCTCTCTGAGGAAGAGAGTGTCCTTCTTGTTATTGTAGGCCTCCCTGATTGTCACCGAGGAGCTGCACCTGATCACCTTTGAGACTGAGGTGTATCACCAAGGCCTCAAGATTGACCTTGAGGTGAGTTCTACCACAGAGTTGGGACAGGGCTGCATGCAGGGGTGATGTGGGACAAGAACTTCTAGTTGGGATTTTTTCTACAGAAGGTAGAGTGATGACTCTGCTTAGCACTGTGTTTATTTTTGCTTGTTTTTCTCCCAAAACTCCAGAGTATCCCAGCTGAGAGTAGAGTCTTGAGTGCTTAGAAGATGCACATACAGTTGACCGTTGAACAACACAGGGGTTAGGGGCGCCAACCCCCTGCCCAGTTGAAAATCTGTGTGTAACTTTTGACTCCCCCCAGACTGAACAACTAATAGCCTATTGTTGACTGGAAGCCTTCCTGATAACATAGTCTATTAACACACATTTTTTTTTAATTTTTTAATTCTTTTTATTAACACACATTTTGTATGTTATATGTTTTATATATTGTATTCTTACGATAAAGTAAGCTAGAGAAAAGATAATGTTGCTAAGAAAATCGTAAGAGAAAATACATTTACAGTACTGTACTCTGTTTAGCAAAAAAAAAAATCATCCACGTATAAATGGACCCATGCAGTTCAAACCCATGTTGTTCAAGGGTCAACTATAAAGTCAGCTTTCAGCAAATTTGATGTGAAAATCTGTATTTAGAAATTAGTGATAGTTGGGGCGCCTGGGTGGCTCAGTCGTTAAGCGTCTGCCTTCGGCTCAGGTCATGGTCCCAGGGTCCTGGGATCGAGCCCCGCATCGGGCTCCC